CAGGGCTGGAGTTGGAAGAGTCCCACCAGTTCACAGCTGCCTTAGCCTGGGAGTGACACGTACCACTTCTGGTCAACGTACACTGAAGAGAGCTTGTTATGTACATAGCTCCAGCTGAATCACAAAGGGCGTTGGAAAACACAACAAAGTGTGTGAATACTTTGGTGAACACTGCCACGATACATTTCCCCCACTCCAACAAGAGCCCCAGGGAGGCGGGAGATTCTTTCTGTTCTTGGCATCACCAGTGACGAGCCCAGCCCCCGGCTCTTAGAAGGGTCAGCAAGCGTTTGGTGAGCAACAGCTGCGGACTAATTGGATGAATGAATGAAAGAAATATGAAATGCACGATATACAAAGTATACTTTAAAAATCTTTACAAACTAATGTTATTACAAGGCAAGAGTTACACCTCTCATTTAAAAAGCAACCTGTCCTACTTTTCTAAACAATATTTTAAAAGATCTAACATTCACTGAAGTAAAGGACAATCTTGTCTCTGCTATAAGGTAAACACGAAATCTTTTTTTTGCCCCCCCCCCGTTTTTTTTGTTCTTCTCCTTTAAAAAAGACGCATACTGTTCTGCCTTTCTAAACCTGTCCACAGCCATTTTCCCGTTATAAAATGAAAATGCCTTTATTGTAGAAAGCGTTAAACACACATGGAGAGTATGGGAGGATGTAAAGTCAGCTGGGTCCCACCGCTACGATACAGCTGTTGTCTTTTTGTATGTGTGACTGTGTTTGTATACGTGTGCACGTATGCGCGTATTTGTTAAACAAAGGTGGAATCCAAATGCAGCAGGCGTATCTCACGCAGCACCTGTATCTTCTTGGCTCTGCCTGTCCCTGAGGCCCTTGGCCACTTTTTCACCCCGGGGGTCACTGGGCTGACAAAACTCGCCTGGGCTCTCACCAACTGCACCACCTTCACTTCCCGCTCGCACTGTCTGCCTCTCCCTCCCACCTGGGGCTTGCCTCTTGCCTCTGAGGTGCGACCCACCTGATGCCCACACACGCGCAACCTAGAAGCTTGGAGGAGTTAACGTACCATGGGGCAAACCTTTTTCCAATGAGACGCAGGAGCTGAGGGGTACGTCCTGCTCCTTCCTTGCCTTGGATGCTGTCCTGGAACGCGCTACTTTACCCGTCCTCCCGGGAGGCAGCTTTAGGAGATCAAGCAGCCAACTGTACTTACACCAAGGGGTGGCCAACTTGGAAGCACACCCTTGAACTTCCTTCTTAACCTTAAGACTTCACCTTCCTTCTCCCCTCACTCCCATTCCCTCACCTCTGCTTCCGAAATTGCACTTCCTAAAAAAATAATAGCACATAAGATTTTGCCTCAAGCTCTAGGTTCTGGGGTACCAGGTATAGCAGACACGACAGCTGCCCTGCCAGTCACCCCATCAGCTCTCACCACAGTAGCGCACCCTGGCCTGACTTCCAAGCGCCAGCATCTGCTCTCTCTCCCTGAGAGCCTTCTTTGCTACCCAGAGCCTATTTTGCACCTGTTCGTGGCAAGCCGCAAGTGCCAGAGAACTAGTGTCCCCTGGGAGCAGCCTTCACAGAGTGGCTGACAGGAGCTGGCATCTAAACACTTCAGATTTCTTACCCTTTCTTTGGGGTACCACCGAGCCATGAGCTCT